TAGCTTGGTGTGAGTGATGGCTCCATTAGTGGCCAGCCACATGACTCTGGGCAAGCTTGTCCATTGCACTGTTTCACAGTTTGCTCACTGTAATAACACCACCCTTACAGAGCTGCTTCCCTACAGGCATCCCTATGGGTCCATCCACCTAAAGCACTCAGGCCACAGGCTCACACATGGTAAATGCTCCCGACATGTTCACTGCCATCAGCACTACTACCCACTCCTGGCACTCTCATTGCTGTTATTCTGCTATGATCACCAGTACAACTCTGCTATGGCATTTGCAGTATAAGTATTCTACCTAAGAAATTATGCTGTACTCTTTCTTCCTACTGCTTTGTTCCTTCTGTTCTGTGGGATCTGCAAGAGCAAAGACGCCGACACATGTCAGCACACACAGAGATCCACTGAGTGTCTGCACTGCAGAAGATGCAAGGGCAAAGCGTCTGGGTGTTGCCATTATCAGGCACCCATGTTCTGCGTGTGCTCGTCATCACCCAGATGGGAGAGGCACTGAGACAGCCGTCCTTCTGTACTCCCCGTCAATGCAGCTGCACCCGTCTGGGGCCACGGTATCTGGGGACACGACGTGCAGCCTGCGGGGAAAGGCACCTCTTTTCTTCTACTGTCAACACTGGTCTAGCAGAGGCAACAACTTTAAAGGACATTTTTGCACCTCATCTAATTGAATGTTTTAGCTCATCTGCATCCTCAACACATACATACATTTCTCCAAGTTCTTTTCTTCACACTTGTCTTGGATTCTCAGCTAAAATTTCTGAAAATTATGTCTTTCTTTAGATTAGCCTGGGAATAAACACATCAAGGAAGCACAGAAATACATTTTGGAACCACTAAGCCCTGAGAATGGGAAATCATGTGAGAAGCCAACTACAATCATCATAAAGCAAGGGAATTTCTCAAGATGGGAAAGGAAAATAACCATTTTTTTCTAGTACGCATTTTAGTTACCTAAGAATATGAAATAAACTCATGCATATGGTCTAACTAATTTGCATTTTGATAAAACAAACATTTTGACGAAAAAAAATGAGAGACAGGGCAACTAGATAACCAAGTAACAAAGCAGGTGAGCTGTGGTTTGAATAATCGTGTGGGTGACCTCCACAAGCCCATGAACTGGGTGGGGGCTTGCTCCCCAATATCTTACGTTAGGATTACCACTCATGGGTAACAGAGTTTAGCATAGATTAGGCCTAGGTATCTAGAAGTAGACTCTGGGGAGGGTGTCCCCAGGTCACTGGTTATATGCCCTGGAAGGCTGTCCCCTCAGAGCACTGGCTCCCTATTCTAACTTGAGCCAAGCTTTCTCCCTGCTTCCAGGCTTACCCGGGGACGTTTTTCTGTACACTTCACCAGACACCGAACTCCTGGGGCCACATAACTCTGGGTGTTAATCTCCAACCTACAAAACTTCCTTCCTCCTAAGTAACTCTTCCCAGGTATTCGGCTAAGGTGATGCAAAGCTGACTAATGTGAGGCATTTTAACTCTGAAAACAAATTTGGAGGTTAGTAGCATGAATGACATTACCCTCAAAATTTACTCCCTTACATATAATTATATCTTGACAAGGTCAAAAAGAGAACAGACACAGCTGAAGCTCTCACCTAGCCTCAGAATGGAATAACTGACTTACAGGACAAGAGGCACAGTTACCTGTACAAGATGGCTGCTGATAGGTTGGGGAGTTATCTGACAGGCTGGCCAGCAGACTGCTCAGAGAGGTCACTGAGTTGGCAGTGCATGGCCCTGACATGGCCCAGACTGTAGTCAACTAGTTATGAGTCTTAATGCGTCTCTGCTACTCATGCCTAATATGCCAGAATCCTTAGTTCTCAAACTCAATTGGTCTCTTAAATTTAGTATGCTAACCATGCTCAGTATAGCACACAGCATGTGTGCTAAATACTGAAAGTTTTCTTTTGGAAACAAGACTAAAAGTATGGTCAGACAAAACAGAAAAGCTTTTGTTCCCTTCTATGTATCACATTTTAGCCTTGAAGGTATTTTTTTTAATGTATTTATTTTTACTGGAAAGTCAGAGCTAAAGAGAGACAAAGAGAGGGAGGGAGGGAAGGAGGGAAAAGGAAGGAGAGAGAGGGAATATGAATCTTCTACCCACTGGTTCATTCCCCAAATGGTCATAATGGCCAGAGCTGGGACAATTCGAAGCTGGGATCCAGGATCCAGGAGCTTCTTCTAGGACTGCAGTTTGGATGCAGAGGTCAAATGCCTTGGGCCATCCTCCATTGCCTCTCCAGGCCATGAGCAGGGAGCTGGTTCAAAACTGGAGCAGTCTGGAGTAGAATTGGCACCCTTCTGGGTCTGGCATTGTAGATGGCGGATTAGCTTGATATGCCACCATACCAGTTCCATCACTGCTGGTAATGACTCTTAAAACTTACCCACTGTGTTTACCCAATTCTGTCTGTCCATCCGTCCATCTATCCATCTATCCAGGTTTGCATGAATTCATTCAGTGAATAAATTACTGAGTACCTTACTGCCACCTGGACCTTTACAGTGCTTTCAGTACTGACCCGAGCTCCAGATGCTCCCCTTTGCTTTCCAGTTCTCTGCTAATGAGCCTGAGAAGGGAACAGAAGACAGCCTGAACATCTGGGTCTCGGCCACAAACATGGGACACCTGAAAGGAAGTCTAGGCTCCTGTGACCATGTGGCAATGAATAACTGGATGAAGATATCTCTCTGTAACTCTGCCTTTCAAATAAATAAGTGAATCTTTAAAAAAAATACTTCATAATGCAAAGACATAAAATAAATAAAGCTGATTAATAATTAAAGTTGTACCCATAATTAAATGGGAGAATTTGATTTCCACATGCAGAAAAATTAAACTAGATCCCTATCTCTTACCTTATACAAAAAACCATCTCAGAATGGAATAACTAGCCGAGTGAGTACAGGGAACTACTGCAGCAAAGCACAGGGGATGCCATGCAAGTGGCACTGGCTATGAATGTTCTGGATCAGTTGCAGCTACACAGGAACCAAAAGATACAGACAAGTGGGACTGCGTCAAAGTAATGACCTCTAAAAATGAAGGAAGCGATCAACAAAGTTAGGAGATAAGCTACAGATTAGCAAGAAGGTATCTGCATGGTCTACCACCGGCCAGGGAATTATAATCAAAATCCACAAGGAACACCAGTAACTCATTGACAAAGTCAATAAATGGGCTGCAACTCTAAAGGAACATTTCGCACTGGAAGACATATGAATAGCCAACTTGTATATGAAAAAATGTTCAATATTGCTATTCATCAGGAAAATGCAAATGGAAACCTTGAGAAGATAGTATTTCACTCCAGTTAGAAAGACCATTAACAAAAAGACAAAAGACAACACAGCTGGCAAGGATGAGGTGAAAAGGACCCTCGCACACTACAGGTGGTAGTGTAAGGTAATCCAACCGTGGCAGAAACAGTGTGAAAGCTCCTCGAAAAACTAAAAATGGAATTCCCGTATGTTCCAGCAATTCCACTAATGGGTATATATCCAAGAGAAGTGCAGAGGTCTGTGAAGAAGTACCTGCACTCCCACAAAACAAAACCATCTTCATGTTTATGTAATGGTAAATGGCTAAAGAAAACACGTCCATATGTACAAAGAACAGCCCTCCACCATAAACAGGGTGGGCTCTCGGCATCTACGATGACGCAGCTACAACTGGAGACAATTCCGTTAAGTGAACTAAGCCACGCACAGACCAAATTACCACATGATCTAATTATATATGGGGAATAAAACAGGGGCTGTCAGAGCAGCTGAGAGTAGAATGTTTGTTATCAGAGGCCTAGGAAGCAGGAGGGAGGAGAGGTGACTGCTAGACAGCAACGAGAAGTTCTGGTGCCCTGTCTACAGCAGGAGGAGTGGGCGCAAGCCCTCGCCCTCTCTCCTCCGTGCTCCACACATACTGAGGCTCCTTCACCAGGAGGATCCTAATAGAGCCAGAAAGCCAAGGGAACGTCTGCCCGGTTGTTGTGTGTGCACTCCACTTTCTAGTGTCACAGAAGAGTTGGCTTGTCGTGAACACACTTCTCTAAGAATGGCACAGCATCTCTGCTAGAAAGAAGGCAAAGGAAGGCGATGGAAGCAAGCATAACCCCTTCCTCCTGTGCAGCTTCCTGAGGAGCTCAGGCCTTCCGCACCTGAGCACTCAGTGCACAACTTCAACAAAATGTGCTCCTGCACCCTCAGTTAAGTGAAGAAACACCACAAGAATTACAATGCAATAACGTGGATGTATACTCATAACTTCAGCACATACTAATTTTGTTTCAGTTTTATAGTTACCTCCAAGTCACCAACTAAACTGTGGATGAAATATATTCCTGAAACCTACAAATCAAATCATCTACTGACAGATTATTCTATTTCTGCTGCCCAGAAACTATTTATAGTCAAAGTAAAAATTTCTTTTTTTTTTTTTTATTTTTTTATTTTTATTATTTTTTCATTGGAAAGGCGGATATACAGAGAGGAGAGACAAAGTAAAAATTTCAACATTAACAAAGTCATTGCTCGAATTACATGGTCTGACTTTTCAAAGCCGGTTTGTGGTTCAGGTTCAATGTTGAGAGAATCACTTGCTACAGAGCACGTCCTTCCGGCAACTGTGGGTCAGTGGGGAGGCTCCTTTTCACCAGTGGAGAGGCCACACCTCTCAAGGCAAATGCCATGCAAATAATGACAAGTTGTCTGCATACTAACGAGAATTACCATCTCCACAGCCAAAGCTAACCTTTCCCTCCTGGCCCCCTAAAAGATCTTTAGGAATTTCCATTATCCACTTACATTAGGACTAAACTTCCCTGGTGCCTCTTTAATTCATCTCCTCTTGTTTGATCCCAGATGAATATGGAAACAGACTGTAATTCTGATTTCAACTTTATGACTGTGTCCTAGTTAGTGAAAACTGCCGACCACAGCTCGGCACCCGCACAGGCCTACCTGCAGGAGAGGCCGCTGCACTCCCAGGGCCTTCATGGTGTCGGCATTCGCGAGGATCTTCAAGGGGTCTGACGTTTTTGTGACTCCTTCAATCTCCTTGTTGATCTCAGTCAGGACCTGATTGAGGAAGATGGTCTTGATGTACACAGTGAGAAACTCTCGAAGAGGACACTGCTTAGCTGGGCCAAGTTCAAGGGCATGCTCAATCTCCTGAATGAATCTGAAAGACAAACAGTGAAGAGTTTGTCAACAATATGGAAAAGCAGCTACACGGACAGGATGTCAGCACATGGGCGTCTCTGGGCTGGGCTGCTTCTAAAGAGACAGCAGTTATCCTTCTGCTATTCGTTAATACAGAATGTGTGCTTTGTTAAACACACTGAAAAGAAATAGGATGGGGCCCAGCGCGATGGCCAGGATCCCATATGGTTGCCGGTTCTAATCCTGGCGACCCCACTTCACATCCAGCTCCCTGCTTGTGGCCTGGGAAAGCAGTCGAGGATGGCCTGAAGCTTTGAGACCCTGCACCTGCGTGGGAGACCCGGAAGAGGCTCCTGGCTTTGGATTGGCTCAGCTCCAGCCGTTTCGGCCGCCTGGGGAGTGAATCATCGGATGGAAGATCTTCCTCTCTGTCTCTCCTCTCTGTATATCCACCTTTCTAATAAAAATAAAATAAATCTGAAAAGAAATAGGATGAAATGGAAACTCATCTTCTGGGGCCTTGCTGCAGCAAGAGGCCACCACCTAGTACAGGGCTTTCTGCATCATAGCACTGATTCAAGTCCAGGAAGCTTCTGTTTCCTGTCCATGTGCCAGAGATAGCAGCAAGTGCTCTGGCCCCTGTCTACTGTGGGAGATCTACACAGAGCCCTAGCTCAGCCTGTGGCCACTGTGGCCATCTGAGGGAATGAACCAGTAGATGAGAAATTCTGTGTGTGTGTGTGTGTGTGTGTGTGTGTGTGTGTGTGTGTGTGTGTGTGTGCGCACGCACACGCGCGTGCATATTGTCCATTCTGTCACTCTGCCTTTCAAAAACAAAGCAATATCATATCACCTAATCTATGGAGCAAACAAGGAGGAGACAGACAAACAATATTTGTATTAATTCAAGGAAGAAAGAAAACCACAAGAAGCAAAGGAAACACACGAAAATAGAAAACACCAAGACACTCCAGAATAACGCATATGCCTCACTGAAATGCTTACATGTGAGGTTTTTCAAAGATGTCTTTATTTGAAAGGCAGAGTTCCACAGAGGAAAGGAGAGACAGAGGAAGACCTTCCATGTACTGATTCACTCCCCAAAGAGTTACAATGGCAAAATCTGGACTGGGCTGAAGCCAAGAGCCAGAAACTTCTCCCAGGTCTTTCAAGTGCAATAAAGGGACTCAAGTACCGGGGCTGTCTTCCACTGTTTTTCCAGGAACATCAGGGAGTTGGCTGCGAAGCAGAGCAGCCAAGACACAAACCAGTGCCCATTTGAGATGCTGCTGTTGCAGACACTGGTTTTACATGCTGTGCTCCAATGACAGTCCCTCGATATGAATGTTTCAACAGACACAGACTGGCAATGCAGCACAGTGGGTTAAACTGCTAGCATTCCACATCAGAGAACCAGGTCACGTTCTAGCTGTGTTGTTAATGAATTTGCCCTTGGGCCCAGGTCACACATATAGGAGACTGGGACGCAGCTCTTTGCTTTGACCTGGCCCAGCTCTGGTGCTGCACCACTTAGAGAGGGAATCCATGGACGGAAGATCTCTCTCCCACCCCCTTCTTTCTTTGCTCACCCTTTTCTTTCTTTCTTCTTCTTCTTTTTCTCTTTTCATGGATTCAGTTCCATAAGCTCTGGGATTTCCCCTTCACCCTCCCTAGATCCCTCCCCCCTGCCACACACTGTTTCCACTAATTACTACAATAATACAGTCCTTCATAAACAGTCACTCATCAAAATATAGGGAAAGACTTCATGGTAAATGAGATAGAATGGATATTAAACAGAAGAGAAATGCTTAATGTTCATTAAAAAAGTGTACAATAAGTTGCACTGAGATAACAGTTTTCACAATCATGCAATGGAGCACTTATAAAAGTTTAAAACACTTTGTCGGTGTGGGTGAGAAGACAGAGGTATTCTAGCAGGCCATGGATGGCAGTGTCCGTGAGAGGCGAGTTGGCATTACCATGCAGAAGCACAATGCAGCTTCTCTTGATCCTGAAAATTCACCTGTGGGAAATTCTTTCAGTAGATCTATCTGAATGTGGATGAAGTCACTCCATAGAATGTGTACATCATTGTGGCAATGAGTTGGCAGCAAAATACCGGAAATAATTCAAAATTTTATTACTTACAAAGTAATTACATTAGGATGCTTTATACACTGGAAAACCACACATGTGCCAACATGTAAAGACCTCCTGAGTTTAGTAAGTGAAGACTCGGAATGCAGACTGCTATGCATTTCAGTTGTGTTTACTACATTACCTTATATCAAAAGGGCACTCCTTATTTGTTTATCTTAGCATAAAGATGCTTGGGAAGACTAGCAACAAACTAATGAGTACCTGTTGGAGGTAGGGGTATGGAAGAGAAGCGGGAATGAGACTTTCAAATGGTAACTTTTACATTATTTGATTGTTAACAACTGGAAATATATTAACTACTTAAATGAAACTAAATTAGAAAATTTAAAACTCACCTAACATATACTGAAAATAACATTTCGTAAACTATTTTCTAATTACCATATTTAAAGTTTAGTGCATAAATTATTCCGTAGGTTTAGGAGTTTAACTTAATAGAGTTTCCTTTACTTAACATATCGACATATTTCAGTAATTTTGCATAACACCCTGGCATCCTTTGGTATACATGCAAGTGCGATTAAAGATGCCCGTTTAAGATGAGCACAATGAAAACAGCCATCCAAAGAATGCAGAAAGGAAATTGAAAATTCAGAGGGCACAAGAAATAGCAATCATATCTCAGTTAATATCAGTAATATGGAAATGAAAATAAAAAGACGACCCAAAACAAAGAATGACTGGCAGATGAGTAAAGGAGGTAGAGAAACGGGAACAAGATTTGGCCATGACATGATTTAGTGGGGCTGGCATTGTGTGTCGCTGGCCACGCCGCTGTGTGAAAAGGCTGCTTCCTGCTGCTTGCCATCCAGCTCTCTGCTGCTGTGTGTGGGAAGCAGACGAGGTTGAGCCACATGCCTGGGTCCCTGCACGCGTGTGGGAGACCCGGGTGGTGTGCCAGGCTCCTGGAATTAGCCTAGTCCAGACCCAGCTGCTGTGGCTATTTAAGGAGTGAAAACAGTAGACTTAAGATCATCTTCTAACAGCATCTTGCAAACAAAGCTAAATAAGCATTTTCAAAAAGAAAAAGCATGTATTTATTATTTTTAGCTGACATAAAAACTGTATACTTTTAGGAGTATCTGATGTTTTGATACATGTATACACTGTGTACTGCTAATATCTCAATAAACTTAGCTCTCTACACTCTTATCATTCCTTAAGGTAAAAACATTCAAACTCCTTTAGGAGCTTTTTTTTTTTTTAAAAAAAGAAAAGCATAATACTACCATTATTATCTATAGTCAATCCATGATGCAACAGAACTGTGTAACTTAAAATTCCCATACAACAATAGCTTAATATCCATTAGATTGCATCTCCCCTTTTCTGCGGCCCACTCTCCTTGGCCTCTGCTACCACCGTTCCACCTTCCCTGCCCAAGCAGCACACAGGAGTGGCCACCGTTCTATGAGATCCGAATCCGAGCCTGCCACATGGATCCCTGTGGAGTCCTTGTGCTCGCAGGCCATCCCCCACTGAGCTCGGAAAGAAACCCTCTGTGACTAACACTCTTCTGAGGAAACTCTTCCGGCCATTCCTTAATGTTGCAAGAACTAATCATCAGAATCCATACTTATTTTCCTCCCCGTGATTGAGAAAAAGGGTTTTGTGAGTCAAAGTACCCCTTCCATTTTCAAAACCTTTAAAACTGATAGCAGAAAACGGTTACTAATCAGTCTCCTACACAATGGCCAAAGGCTCTAAATTACCCACGTGTTCTCTCTCTCTTTTTAAGTCCTGTATTTGCCTTTGGAGTCCCTAAAACGTGAAACTGCCCTGATGGGGGGGAGGGCGCCCCCATCACATTTGACTGAGTGAATTCTTCAAACAGAAAGCACACATATCAGTCTCAGATGACACATCCAGGCTGGTGTTGCAATGGCTACTCGAGGGCACCCATTCCAGATGTTCCCGAATCTGCTTTCAGAGCTGCAAAGGACCTCAGTGTGCAGACACCGTGCATGCAGGGGAGGAGAGACAAGTCGGGCTGTCTTACCAGTCCTTTCCATAGCCAGAACTGGGCCAAGTGGTGGTTCTCAGGGGCTAAGCTACAGGCATTGGTAAGAGATGCTGATCAAATGACAAATGATTTCAGTTAGACAAGTGGAATAAATTAAAGAAATTTATTGTACATGGTAACTATGGTTGATAATCACAAGCTGTAGACCTGAAAACAATGGTAAGTCAATGAGACAATGTGTTTGTTAATTAGCTCAATTCAGCCATTCCACCAAGCACATCCACTTCAAAACATTAGGCTGTAGATCACAAATATCTATAATTGTGTTTGGCACTTAAAAATTGAAGCAGTTGAATATGGATTTTAAAAGTAGTTAGTTACAAGGGCCAACTGCCTTTTCCTGGGGGGGGGGAGGGGGAGGACACAGAAGGAGAACATTCTGGTCACCCTGGAGGTGATGCTCATGTCCCAGGACGACATGAAGGGGCCCGAGGTGTATGACAGAGAGCCAGAAGAGCTGCCCCAAAGACTGCATGTGAGGTGGCCATTGTGGCTCTCATGGCCATCTTACTTTTGCACTGTGCAGAACATACATAGTAACCTTGCCTACTTCACGGGATGTTTAGCAATTCAATGGAGAAACAGAAGAGAGACTGACACACAAGAATTGCTACCTGACTGGCAGCCAACACTTCCACCACGGTCTCACTATGATTATACAAAGTTTGGCCAAGCGGGAGTTTAGAAGGCAATGACACATGGTTTTTAATTTCTGTCCACTTGTTTTCTATGTGATCACCTATAATCAGTAATTCAGATGACTAGATTAATATTTTTTTAATATTTTAGACACAAAAAGATAAAGAAATACCCAAGGCCCCATGGGGAGAGGG